ACTGCTTTGGAATGTGCACTGCGTTCCGACGGTAGTGCTAAGCGAACCGTTTCATTTTTAAAGCGCGGTTATAAGATCTAACAGATCTTCTTGTTAACAAAATAACGGCCGCTTCTTGACCTTTTTGACGTGTCTGGGAAGGCGATTTAGATAAAGTTTTTAACGACTAGTAGATTTATACTTAAAACAATTAGATTATTCGCCCTCGATTTCTATGCGTGTAGTTGACGAGGGCACATATCGCGATGGAAATCTCGAGCGAATAATCTAATTATTTAATAGAAACACAATTTCAAACCAGTCAGGGTGTGTATTTTCCTTGGGCCAATTTCTAATAGAATATAATCTACGGCCGCTACCAGTTTCCCATCTGCGATCGGTGTAGAGAGTCTTTTTTCATGTTGAATAGTCCTTTCTATGTTCCACTTTGTACAGCTTAGCAAACATCAAAACAGCAAAGTGTCGGTCAATAGCTTTCAGCATGCGTAGCTCGCGTGCCTACAGAAAAATAGTGGACATTGTTGGCATGTGGTAAAGTAAAGTAAAGTGAAGTAAAATCCTTCATTTAAACATGATAATCGTTTAAGCACTATGTGCTTGAGGGGTCATGCATCTAATTAATTATCTAATTATCTAATTACCTACTGATAAAATGAATGAAATATAAGAAATTAACTTACTTTATCGCAAATCTGATTTCCCTTAATATCTGACTAGATTTTGCCTGTGGTTGTGGTTGTCTTTCCATGGTGTCTGAAATGCGATAGCAAGAAACTCTATCTCTGCAGATGGCCCATAGAAATTTTCTCAGTGCTGAAAATAACTTTGGATAAAACTTAAAACATCAGTAATGTTATTTGAATAACATGATGAAAGATTTCGTCCACAGATTTACGTTCACAAAAACAACGTTCTTTTTTAATTTGACCCCTTCAATCTTTACGTGACTAATAGTTAATGGAGAGAAAGTATTTGTTCGAGAAATTTTTTCCTGAATATGTTTCAGTTTTGTATATGCGGATCAACCTTATTTTAACTGGACTTTTTTGTTTGTTTATAGCCCTCCCGAAGAAAATTTTAATCATCGTTGGTTCCACAGTTTCTGCGATAGTACTACTTGGCGTGACAGCTTTGCTGGTTATCAAATACGGTTTTCTACGTTGCCCAATACATGGTAAAAGGAGTAACTCAGGTGCGAAGGTAACCAACATAGACCTACGTCACCAGAGTGGAGAATGTGTTCCTGATTACGCGAGTAGTTCGTTAGCAAAGGCAGAGCGCACAGATGTTGGAGTTTTTGTTTAGCGTGGCATTGATAAAGAAACACTAATCAAACTATTCGCGCTCAGGTCGGTTGAAAACCGTCTTACCGTACCGGCGTAAACCTATGAAGACAGGTAACTTTAAGTACTTATCAATACTTATAAAAGAGATAGAAAACGGTTATAGAATTTATATGGCTGGATGGTTCCCGTTTGTTTTCGATAAAGG